TAAACTCAATAAACTGTCTTATTTTCTTGTGTCTGTTGTTTTTACTGTATAATTATGATGATAAGGTTGTCATTACCTGTGAAAAGCAATGGTATTTTCTTCTCCATGGTGAGGAATACCCTTGTTTTTGCACCCACGAATGACACATGTGAGTGGCATGGTATCTTTACATACACTTTCACATAATTAGTATTTTTGCCTTTTAAATTGCTATTTTGCTGTTGAAAATATTTTTTACTAAATAACTCCCCAGTAATTTGCGCTTTGAAGTTCAAAAAAGGACTGGGGAGAAAAGGAACTTTAATGTTTATATTTGTACTCTTAAAACTTAAATATTCTACTTCAAAACATAATTAAACTGTGGTTGGTAGTTTAATTTTGTTAGAATACCTTTTTTTCTGACTTTCAGAAGTATTAAATTGGAAAACGAATGAGCAAAAAGGGAAATTCACACAAATATTTATGAGTAGACCACGGCAAGTTCCACTCCTCGCTCAACGATTTTATCAAAAAAGAAAATTTAATTACGACTTTTACACAAATAAATTAAAAATATTTTACTGTAGAGTTTTGAAGGATGTTTTTATCGTAAAAAAATGTACTGGTAGGTACATTTTACGTTGTCTTGAACGATGTTTTAGTGCATTTTGACCCCGTTTTTGGAAATTTAAAAAAACCGCGTTTTTCCGTTGCGTGGAAAGACTGGGTATGACAACAGTGGGCATGCCTGGGCATAACTTCACATTTCCGGCTGGAGGTATCGTTCCAGTTCTTTTTAGTTCAATGGTTATGACCAATTTTTTCGTGTCGATTTTCGATGATAAGCCGCGTCACTGGATGGTCTTTAGGTAAGATCATAGGATGTTTGACATCATGTGGAAGGTCATCGGGAAAACGAAGACGTCCACTGATTCAAAATAAACCGTCCTCGTCTCGTTGAGGGCAAAATCTGGTCAAACAATTCTCCTTTTCACCGTTTGGAAACGCATCGGCTTGCGTCTTTCGTATCCAGAACGTTTCTGTGTCAGAAATCTCCGCTCGTTGAAGTACGTTGTTCTTTTCACGCTGTTCGTCGGGTAACTGACAGTTTTTTAGAAAACGCTTTACTCAAGCTGTAATACGCAGTAGTCGGGAAAAGCTCAAAAACCTTTCTGGCAGGAGACGATCAGTGACGTTAGTGCTAGAGTTGGTTTCTTCTGTTGCAAACGTGAACTTACTTTTCTTTTGTTCGCGTCCTTCATCTCTGGTTGTTGGATACTTAGGTGACTTCTCCGGCCACGTAGATTCATCTTTCTTTAAAATCTCTGGTCCTTCCAACCACACCTTGCTTTGGGACAATTGTGTTGCGGATAAACCTCTTGTCGGTAAGTCGGCAGGGTTGATCTCCCCCGGTATGTGGCGCCACTGGTCTGGATTTGTGCTTCGTTGAATCTCTCCAATCCGGTTGGCAACGAATGGTTTAAAGCTCCTACTTTGGTTTCTAACCCAGTAAAGTACGTTGGTGGAATCTACCCAGAAGGTAGCGCTTTCGACTGTTAAAACTTTTACCAGATTTTTCGCCAAGCGAGTCGCAAGCACTGCTCCCATTAGTTTGAGTCGTGAAATTGTCATTGCTTTTGCCGGTGCAACGCGACATTTAGACGCGATCAGACGTGAGGTCGGTGGATGGTTAACATATTTGCACACTAAGTAAGCAACTGCAGCGTACGCAGCTTTGGATGCATCTGAAAACGTATGTAGTTGAATGCTTGTTGGAAGGGCGTTACGTAGACACGTGGAATAGTGACGTTGGATACTTCTTGGAACTCAGAAATCCACGTTTTCCATTTCGAATCCAATTCTGCTGGCAGAACATCATCCCAGTCCAGACCTGCTGCCCAAATTTCTTGCATTAATAATTTCGCTCGTATAGTAAATGGAGATAAGAATTGGAGTGGGTCGAAAAAGGATGCAATGCAACTTAAGAGACAATCTCCACTAAAACCGAGCAAAATCGAGAATATGTGGCACATAAGGAAAAATAAAAAATCTTCTTATTTTTTCCAGTGATACTCTAATGTGTACTCAGAACCGTGGTGGGGTTTGTTTTCTGACATATTATTTTAACGCCGAAAATTACCAAAACCTCACACATTCCCGAGATTCGCCAATTGGCGTGTGATGAAACCACACCTTTCGTTTTTGAACGTGTTTATAAGATGTTTATAAAGAACGTGGGTCCAATTTTCAATTTTTGAAATGATTTTTCAATGTCAAGACAAGCGTGTAAAAATCGTCTTTTTTTGTGATCCAAAAAATTCTAAATTGTTACACTTTTTGAAAATTAAATTTCCGTATCCGGGAAAACTGCAATTTCCTTGAAATTTACGGAATTTAAAGTGAAACTGTTGTTCTAAAAGCTGATGTAAAAATTATTTTGGGTTTTTTTGTTACCGCGGAATTATACTGACTATAATATCGAGAAAATCACAAGAAAAACCTTAAAAATCCTCAGACAATTGGGCACCTTGCTTCAACTATAGACAGTCGAAACTCGATAATTTTTGCTTGTTTTCTCTTGTTATTTATAGGAAATATAAGACGTAGATCATTTTAAACTAGTTTGCCTATTTCTAGATAAAAATACACTGTTAAACTCTCCAAGACTAAGATTTCTGCTTCAAATCCTTGTTTCAATTGATCGATCCATGCGCGCCAATTAAAGTAAACTAGAAATACTTATACACTCACTAGATTCAAGGCTATATATACTTACTATAAACAGACAATTACTTATATTTGAGCATGTTGTTCTCTAAGCAGTTCAGTTTAAGCGTCAAACTTCGGCCATATTTTCATTGAGGCCGGGCAAGTTCGTCGTTTAATTAAAGAGACAGGGCCGTTCCTAGCGTGATAATTGGAGGTGTATATTCATATATTCGTCTTTTGCCCGTCGGATTTCTTTTGAAAGCGATTGTTTTTACGGTAGTGAGCGTGAATATATGAATATACCCCCCCCCCATTATCGCGTCTAGGAACGGCCCTGTAAAGGGATATGATCGGAAATAGCATGAATATAGAAATTAGGATTCCTCTATCTGAAAGAACTTTTAAAATGACGTGGAAAACATTTTAAAGCTTTTTTTTAATCTCGCTTATTTCTCGACCTTAAGAAAAGCTTCTGTTGTGATGGAGCTAAACTGTGGAACTCATTACCTAAATGCAATTGACGCTTATAATTTGAGTTTGTGTAATTGCATGTCGAGGGTCGTACGTCGAGGTCGAGGGTCGAAAATAGTAAATTGTTATCCATTTTAAAAGTTTTACAACCATTTCGAAAGCTTCCAGACGCGGTAAGACAATTAGTTTGCTCTCAACATTTCGCCTATGGCTATAATCAATGTATACTGAAAGTTTCGCTTGAGGAACTAAAAGTCTGATGCGAGGGTTGATGTCTGAAAGTATACGTATTTTAATATACATTGGAATTTAGAATACAAACATGGGCGATGATCACAGGCGATGATACAAAATTTGCGTTTCGCTCTCATGAGAAATTTGATTATAAGAGGCTGTTGATATGGTCTCGTTTACCCGGGGTTCAATGAAGTGTAACGTATTTTGATCGAGCAATTGAAATACGTGTTTCATCAGCCCTAAACAAAAGTTAGATAACTTTAAATATTTTTTAAACGAAATTAGGAATGCGCCAGAAGTTATGTAGTGGAAGAAGACGATTAATAGCATTCAACAACATTTGGGTTTTTTTAAGGCATGGAATTTCATACAATTTGTAACGAGCAATTTTGTTAGATCATGAAGTGCGCCTAATTTAAATTGCTCAAAATACGTCACGTCACACTTCATTAAGGTTACAGGACACCCTTTTTGGCGTTTTGCGGAAAATCGCTACTGCGCGCTCAAAATCAGTCCGATTTTCATCCAATTTTCACCAAATGTTCGCCAGTGCATGCAAAATATGGTAAAGTTATAAAATTAACAAACAATAAAATAATGTAAGAATTATTCAGGAAAATCGTAAATCGCCGTACCGTTACGTACGCTTTTGAGTTTTGCTCCTGCTGGTTTCAGTTATATTCATGAAAATATCATTTTTAAACAGTAAAATAGTTGTTCTAAAAAATGGTGTTCGGAAATTTTTGTTTATTTCGTCATTCCGCTGATAAGGCGATTTCTTTGACGACTGCAAAATATTTCTGAATTATATGCCCGGCCACGGTGGGATTCGAACCTACGACCTTTGGAATACTAGCCCAATGCTCTTCCAACTGAGCTACGCGGTCAGGACGGTTCGAGTAAGTGATATTTCGGAACAGTAT